CAGGTGAGAAGAAGAAAAGTAGAATTGTAATTAAGTTACTTGGATTTTGTTTGTGGCCTATCCACAAACTTTATTCCTGAATTTTTGTTGGTATTTTTGTTCTTTTTTTGTGTCCTTATTTACTTGATTGTAAGATAATATTAACAATACTTGCCCAGTTTTGTTGGCTGAGAGTTGAATTCCTTCTCCTGTTTTAATACCTTAGATAGAAATTACTGAGAAATGGGGAAATATTCATATTGTAGCTACTATTTAGAACTATTTAGATCTACAATTTTGGAGATATAATAGTAACTTAAGGAAAGCTGTGTAGCAGGTGTTTCATTTTTATCTCCAAATAAAAGATTATTGGCTATGGAAATCCAAAAGGTGAGATGAGAAATGCAGAGTCATGGTGTCTGTAGAACTAAAAGAAACCTACTCTGTCTTCAAAATGCTGCTTTCCAGCCCAGATGTCATCCAATTGTGATTAGCTTTTCATAGCTCCATAATATATGAAAAGAAATTCTAAGGATACTTCCCTCTTCCAGTGCCTTCTTTCCCAGAGAAAGACTGATTTTTTTTCTGGGTACACAGTAGCAATTAAATACAGGTTTGTGACTGAAGCTGAAATGTGGCTCTGCAGGACAGTTATCATCCATCCAGCAGCAGTTGCCAGCAATGAGTAATTATTTGCTGAGAGTTAGAAAAGAGTGGTATTTTCTGATGGTGACTTAAAAGAGGGGCAGTGGTACCACACTGTGTAATAGGTGTAGGGAAAATAACTCACGTGGTGAGCAGCAGCCCTGCGCTGCCAGAGTTCTGTGCTTTCATTTCATTTGGGAAGTCAAAAGCAAAAATTTGCTATCCCTTTTCAAGAGCTGCCTGTAACTACATAGCAGAGCTGAATGAATTCTCCACTGGCAGAGATGGACTGACCAAAGAGAACAGCAATGGAACCACAGTTTAAAATAATTAATTAACTGAAATAGGAAGAAAGCTTCCTTGCAATCTAAACATCTTAACTTATCTTAAATTAAAAGCTTTTGTCAGAGGAAGCAAATCTTGATTCTCTTGTTTCTACAGGATACTGACTCTATACCAAACTCTATACCAAAAAATCGTGAGAGTGAAGGTCTTTCTCTGCTGAGGGTAGAACAATGTAACAGAAGAGCCAGATTTTTTCTTTATCTCACTGTACATTTTAGGTGTTAGTAGGTTTCAGTTTCTTTTCATGCTTTTAAATTATTTTTTAAAGATCACATGTACGTGTATGAAGGCAAAGATTATTCAAAAGAACCCAGCAGAGAAGACAAAAAAGCATTTGATCAGCTTTTGGATCTTCAGAAAGCATTGATTGAAGAGACCAGCAAGGAAGGGAGAGCTCTCCGGAACAAAGCAAACGTAAGGCAGATGTGACAAGGAACATGATACTCTTTCATTTGCTTGTGGAAAATGAAACTTGGCAATTTTCTCTCTTTACCTACAGCTTGTAGAAGGCATGTTAAAAGATTTGAATGTCAGTGTACTCAAGTTGGCTCTGGAATCAGGGCTTGACAATTCAGCAGTTCTGCTAACAGACCTGAGATACGCTGTACAGGGCACTTCTATAAACTCAGGTCACAAAACCACCTATTATCTGACAATTGAGATCTGATGATTAGGACTTGTGGACAAGTAAACAAATGGGAAAGGAATGTAGGTGAAGTTGGGCATCAGGCATGGCTTTAAGATGAGCAGTTTGTTTCTGTGATACCTCTGTCTTTCTCCAGGCCCTTCTTACAGGCCTCCGGGAGCAGTCGGCCAGGAGGAAGCACTTGCTGAGTGAAGAGGAGCTGGAGGCTCGGAGGAAGAAGCGCCAAGAAGCAGCAGCAAAGAGAGCAAGGCTCATGGAGGAAAAGAAGGCAGCAAAAGCAGAGGCAGAGCACAAGAAAAAGTACGGTTTGTGTTGCAACTACTACTTGTAAACTGATGTCTGTTGCACTGTACTGTTGGAATGTGTGTGATTGATGGAAATAATATGTTCAAACTGCATAACATGGGGATGTGAAGGTGGAAAATGGCTTAACTCCCTAGCAAGGGTTCTTTCCTCCTGAATAGCTTGCCTGACTTGACTTTAATTCATAGAAAATGGCGTGAATAAGAGCCCCATGTCTGACTGTGCAGTCAATGAGCATTTGGGAGAAGCTTTCTGAAATGTCACAGTTGGCCCCTATAAATTGCCACATCTGTGGCTCTGGCACATCTTAACTTTCTCTTTCTTGTTTCCCAAGTGTTCTTCCTTTTCACCACCCCAAGTAGTTCCTTGTCCTTTGTTGTGTGCTCACTTTTTCCATGCCTGCAATTGGCA